ATGACTGTGTGTGTGTGTGTGTTTATACCTGCACATATTTACAAACGATTGCATTTTTTGTCTCCAAAAATGGCGCTCAGATTTTATCTCGACGATAACGTTTTTTTTCTTTTTTTATAAAGATACCAATCCTTGTCATTATAGTGTTCACTGTCAAGAGATAAAGCATTAATAGTAATAGATAAAATGCATTTGTACCTACGCTCCAACCTTGAAAAGATTTTATTGTAAAACTCATTTTAAAATGTTACAGATCGTCGAATATTACAACTAATTCTCGCATAGATAGAAATGAGAAATTAAACCTCATAATAATGATGGAGGTTTGGTGGTTCACTTAGAACTGTGAGAATGGTTATGAAAACCAATAGTATATAAACAAGCCAGAATGTCTAGTGAAGAAGAATAAAGTATTCTATGATCATTTGATATGCAAAAGGATCGTGAAATCCAGGCCATGAAACTCGATCAAGACATCGCGAAACAGACGAAAGTGTTTGCCAATTAAAGTATGTTTCCAAACTAAGGAATAGACAGATATCGTGACCAAATTCGAAGAGTGTCGTCGACTCGTATTACCGAGTATTGAGGGAAGGAGATAGATAGATAGATAGATAGATAGATAGATAGATAGATAGATAGATAGATAGATAATGTACAGAACAGAACGAGAAAAGATACATAGATATGAAGAGACTGAGAAAGATAAATAGATAGATCTATAGAAACAGACCGAGATTGATGGATAGATATGAACAGGCTCAGATAGATAGATAGATAGATAGATAGATAGATAGATAGATAGATAGATAATGTACAGAACAGAACGAGAAAAGATACATAGATATGAAGAGACTGAGACAGATAAATAGATAGATCTATAGGAACAGACCGAGATAGATGGATAGATATGAACAGGCTCACATAGATAGATAGATAGATAGATAGATAGATAGATAGTGAACAAAGTGTGAAAGAGAGAGATTGCTGGTGGAAAATAGATAATGAACAGAGTGAGATAGATATAGAGAGATCGATAATAAAAAGTCTTATATATATATATATATGTGTGTGTGTGTGTGATTAGTGAGGAGGCTGAGAGATTAGATATTCAAAAACAGAGATAGATATATAGATAATGAATATACTGTGTTAGAGAGTGATAGAGACAAAGAGAGAATGAATGATAGTCTGAGATAAAGAAACAGACAGATCTGAATAGACATAGATAGATAGATAGATAGATAGATAGATAGATAGATAGATACGAACATAGATAGGCTATAAAATGTCCCGAGGACTATGTCGACTATTATCAGCCCAATCGCCAAATGATGATCATCTGCGTTTCTTGCTCCCAGGCAAAAACTTGTTATCTGGCAAACTACCAAACTAAGCGAAAAAAAAAAATACAACTACTACAACAATAAGACAGCAACAAGAACAAAGACCAAAAAGAATTCTTCTGTGAACTTTGAACCAGACTGATCAATCTTAGAGACCCTTTCAACTAGCGTGACCCACGATCTGTCTTCATGTCAGCGAGTTTCTTAAATAAACAACTGAACAAAAAAAGCAGGAACAGCAACGGCCATGTTTTAATCTTGACAAGTAGAACGGTTAGAGCAGACTCGAACAGAATAGAAATGAACGACACGAGAAAACAGCTTAAAATTATATATTTTGACTTTATTAATTACAATGTCTTCGTTGCAATTTCTTTAAAGTTAAGTATTATTACCTCTTAGTATTGCCGCTTTACATATTTACATATGCACATCTAATTCGATCACTTCATTCATTCATGACTACGAACATACCTCTATCAGTCTGTTTACATATATATATATATATATATATATATATATATATATATATATATATATATATATATATATATATAAAGAAAGAACAATAAGATACATAATCCGGTGTTCTTGTTTTTTTCTTTTTTTTTACAGAATAGTGCTCAATGTAAATTTTCAGAGCATAAATATTGCAAATTAACTGATTTGCTATATATATATATATATATATATATATATATATATATATATATATATATATATATATAGAGAGAGAGAGAGAGATAGATAGTTAGATAGATAGATAGATACCTGTATGTCTGCTTATCTCTCTACAGATCATATATATATATATATATATATATATATATATATATAGCTAGATAGACAGATCTTTCACTTACATATATATATATATATATATATATATATATATATATATATGTTGTCATCCACAGACTGTTTCTCTGTATCACACCTCATCTGATATATATATATATATATATATATATATATATATATATATATATATATATACAGAGAGAGAGAGAGAGAGAGAGAGAGAGAGAGAGAGAGAGACCTGTTGATATACCTCTGTGGGAGTGAGTAGGTTTTGTCATTTCAAATCTACGTATCAGTAACTATCCTTTATCTCTCTCTATCAGTTATGATACCTATGTCAGTCTGCACATATCTTTGTGTATTTACCACTTTCTTACCTTTCTATCTGTTCAACTCTCTCTCTCTCTGTCTCCGTCTCTGTCTCTCTCTCTCTCTCTCTCTATCTATATATATATATATATATATATATATATAATTATTTATTTAAAAATATGATTCCATTGTTACATATGTAGCGATGGTATCATATTTTTAAATAAATAATTATATTTATTCTCTACTTTTGTATCGAGCACTGTTTTCTTTTTTAATAATAACAAAAATACTAAAGAACTTTGGATTATTTACCTAACTAGTTCTTTTCTATTTTCTATATATTTTCACACACACACACACACACACACACACACACACACACACACACATATATATATATATATATATATATATATATATATATATATATATATATATATATATATATATATGTATATGGGTCTAACTAAATATGTTCATATCTATCTATCTAGATAGCTAGCTATCTATATCCCAATTTGATCACATTTAATCTATCTATCTATCTATCTATCTATCTATCTATCTATCTATCTATCTATCTATCTCCCAATCTCATCACATTTAATATATGTATGTATCTATGTATGTATGTATTTATCTCTCCATCTGAACACATTTAATCTATCTATCTATCTATCTATCTATCTATCTATCTATCTATCTATTTCAAACTATCATTATCATGTTGCCTTGTCGTGAAATGCTTGGCAAGGCTAATCTGTTTGGCCTGTATTACAAAATACTGACTTTAATTTTCACCGGGTGTCCCATGCTAGATATGGCATTTAATAAAAATGTTTTCTCATGTATTGTAAAAGCAACCCTCCTTATCTATTTATCTATGGATCTAAGCCTCTCCATATCTCTTCATCTCTCTTTCTCTCTCTCTCTCTCTGTTAATATTTATCTATATTTTCTTATCGCTCAGTGACCACCAGTTTAATCCTCGTTTTGTATTAATTTTGTCTGTTATTTCAGCTGATATTCCAAGGTATTTCTTATTTTATACGCATATTAATTCTTTTCAAATCATTCTGTTTGATACCAAAATCTGCTGTTCGGTTTCCTACACCCCCCTACACCCCTGGATCCACCCGTAAACAAAGAAAAAAAAAAAAAAAGCACTGAGTACATCAAGTTATTGTCAGACTATTTACTATTTCTCGGGTCGTGACCAACTTTTTCGCACATTCTAATGAATAATACCCGACACAATTGCCCATTATCAAAATGTCGCATTCTTTTAGAGAACAAACCCAGTAGAAAGCAGCAGGAAGTAATGAATAACCCAATTGGGTTAATTCACAACACACACACACACACACACACACACACACACACACACACACACACACACACACACACACGCACGCACCTCAGCACACACACACACACACACACACACACACACATGCACAGCAATATACATACACTCATAAAAAATAAATAGATACGTAGTCAGGCACGCATGCACAGAAAACTATATATTCTGACGATCGCGTAAGGTGTGAAACTGCCACTTCCAATGCAGTGTTGATTTCTACAATTACATTCTACATTATTTCATAACGAACAAAACTAAAAGAAAGCCAATATTTATTAGTAATACTTTCTTCAACCATTTGGTCGACGATCAAATGAAAATAAATCTATCTTTATGAACTTTAGGAAAAAATAAAAGCAACCATCTTGACATGAGCTAAAAATTACGATTAACATTTTTTTCTACAATATCCAGATGTGCCCTGGATATAGGCAAGAAGCAGAGACCATTAAAAATAGGATTCGCCAGTACATATCCCTTAATGATTCCAATAAACTCCACCAAATCATTTTAGAATTTAAAAAGTTCCGAACAGCTAATCTAATAATTATCAACCCCTTTCGCCCTCCAAAATAGTCCCTACTAGCAGTAGAGCCCGGCTTTGCCCGGAGATGTAACAGTAAGAGATAGATCAATATCGACCATCATAAAGACTGAAAAATAAAAATGACAAAGATTATTGTTTAAGGTTGACGGACACGCATGTCTTAATTAGTTTTTTTTTGTGTGTTTTGTTTGTTTGTTTTTTTTGTTTTTTACGAATTGGTCAAACCCAAACTCAAACAAAAACATTGTTTTCAATCGTTATGAGTCTACCGATTGAATATAATTTTATTATAAACAATTGTCTTGTAAATGGAATTTTTAAAGCATTCTGAATGTAAAAGTAAAGAAAAAAGTGTGCAAGACAATAAGGAACACTACATGCCAAAAAGAAAGTGATGTTTTGTTGAGATCGGTTGGAAAATGTAGGAAATCCGATCCCATATATAAACGAACACACACACACAACCTGGGTTTTATAATAAGTAACTCGATATTAATAAGTATAACTCGATATGAGTTGTCCTCCTTTCATTCTTGCGACAGCGATGCCTCTTAATCGTGTTTTCAAATTGATTTCGTGCGAAAACAATTGCTGTCAGAACCACCGCAAGGTAATTTTACGTAGGCCTGTGAAGTTTTGTTGAAATCGGTTGAAAAATGTAGGAAATCCGATCCAATATATAAACGAACAGACACACACACACACAACATGGGTTTTATAATAAGTATGATATAAAATCAGTACAGTTTATGAATACTCATCTCATCCAGGAGATTGTATCTCTACTGAAAAAAAAAAATTCTTACATTGGCTACATATGCATCACACGATCTCGTCGATTAACTTGCCATTTAGCGAAAGTTAGTTCATTTCTTGTAGATATCGTTCATTACATCACAAACAAACCGAATTCAACTATTTAAACCAGGACAAAATAATATAGAGCAAGAAAAGATTAAATTACTGAAGTTATTTTTATACAAATTAAACAATGCATATTTAAAAAAATACCAAGTATAAAAAAATATATGTTTCACCAAACAAGGCGGTATTTTAAAATGTGTAAAAATATTTAATATACGCGTAAAATAACAATTCTTATAAATATTGGGTGCATTCTTTTCCAGTGCTATTCTGTGAAACCGATTTACACATGACGTTATATTTTCGACACGTGTGTAATGAAATTAATTTTAATTCTAAAAAATGTCGGTGTCATTTTCATTTTTCGTCATTTTGGCGACAATTTACCCATCGCACAGTGAGCGTGTATACACACACGCGCGTGCGCACAGACACACACACACACACACACCTATATATATATATATATATATATATATATATATATATATATATATATAGGCGTGTGTGTGCGTATATATATATATATATATATATAGATAGATAGATAGATAGATAGATAGATAGATATAGGGAACTCTCCCGTCGTATTCGATGTATGGGGGTCAAGAAGCACTGTTCCTAGGAATCGACAGCCAGACACAAGCACATATGATTTGAACAGCAGTAGAGCCCGGCGTTGCCCTGGGATGTAACAGTAAGAGATAGATCAAGTATCGACCATCATAAAGACTGAAAAATAAAATTGACAAAGATTATTATTTAAGGTTGACGGAAACGCATGTCTTAATTAGTTTTTTCTTTTTTTTGTTTTTTGTTTTTTTTTACGAATTGGTCAAACCCAAACTCAAACAAAAACATTGTTTTCAATCGTTATGAGTCTACCGATTGAATAGAATTTTATTATAAACAATTGTCTTGTAAATGGAATTTTTAAAGCATTCTGAATGTAAAAGTAAAGAAAAAAGTGTGCAAGACAATAAGAAACACTACCTGCCAAAAAAAAAGTGAAGTTTTGTTGAGATCGGTTGAAAAATGTAAGAAATCCGATCCCATATATAAACGAACACACACACACACACACACACACACACACACACACACACACACACACACACAAACAACCAACCTGGGTTTTATAATAAGTATAACTCGATAACTCGATATTAATAAGTACAACTCGATATGAGTTGTCCCCCTTTCATTAATGCTTCTTAATCGTGTTTTCAAATTGATTTTGTGCAAAAAGAATTGTGTTTTTTCCAATTTTTGGCGCTGTCAGAACCACCGCAAGGTAATTTTACGTAGTCCTGTGAAGTTTTGTTGAAATCGGTTGAAAAAGACACACACACACACACACACACACAATCTGCGTTTTATAATAAGTAAGATTATAGTGGTAAATGCTTTGTGCATATCCAACCACTTTTTGAAGGGCCGAATACAGAGACCTAGTGAACTATGCCACAAGATCCCCAAACGACCTTCCGCAGGTTTTGACTTCAGCGTTGTCCTTCTCCTCGACCGAGGCAATATAACCCAGTCTGTCCTGCTATTTACCCACATCTGTAAGGGAAAGAGGAGGGTTAATATCTTTCCCAATAGTAAAGTGAATGTAAGTGAATGAAATAGATTCGATTAGTGTTACAAGGAGTTTTGCAGGTCTCTCAATCATCAGCGCTCCGCACATAATCAAAGGGGCTGCACTCTGGGAGAGTTAGGTGACAAGATTTAGGGAGTGATATGGTTTCAAAAATTGTCTGAAAGCCATAACTTTGATTTTCTGTTCGTTTGGTATGTTGCAAAGTTCTGTTGCTAGACATAGGGTCTTCCAGCAGCCACCCTCATTACCCAGAGCAGCACTACGTCATAAAGGCACTTGATGTAGGCCTCCGTGTTGAGTCTGAGGCTCTCAACAATTTCAGGAGTTCTTTTCTTATCAGAACGATCAGAGAGAATTTTCCGATCTGCCGTACCTTTGTAATCACAATCAGACTCACCCAGCTCTTTCCGAATTCTCTGCTCTATCCGCCGATTGACACCCAAGCACTTTTTAATTCTCGTATTGGAGCTCCGGCACGAATGCTAAGCAGTAGATGATGCAGTTTCCAAATTTCTGGCGATGTGAATTGCTTCATGGTGCCATTTTCCTCACAGATGGTGCCCAAGAGACCTTTCTATAGTGTTCCGGCGACATAATCAAAAACAAACATGGCGCATGTGCGAAATAAAAATATAAAATTGCGACAATTTACCCATCGTACCCCATATATATATATATATATATATATATATATATATATATATATATATATATATACAGTGATATTTTTTCTACATAAGAATGCTGATAATATCACGGACGGACCATGTAAGCAATGAGGAAGTTTCAAGGAAAATTGTAACGAAAGTGATATTTGTAATTAGAATAAAAAAAAAGTCAGTTGAAAATTCTGGTAAACATATTGAGAAAAGTGGGCTTGGAGAATTTAATACACGCAGGATATATTGAAGGTAAGAGGAGCAGCGGGAAGCCTTATATAGTCTGCATTCTGAATTTGTGTAAATGGATGGCACAACTAGGAATGAGAGAAATATCAAGGGGACAAACATTGATTAGAACTACAGAAGGAAAGCTGTGGAGTGCCATGATCGTCTACGTCCTGCCGTACCATGACAGAAAAAAGAAGATATTGAGTGTCTCTCTTGTAAATAAATGCATCGATCACCGGAAGAAATTGTCTCTATTGAAATTCACCAGCACAATAGTACAAAAAAGAAAAAATAAATAAATAAAGAAAAAACAATTAAACTCATTTTTGAGGAAGAATAAGGGATACGAGAATTGCACTCAATGATCCCGGAGACAGGTGCGTCAAGTTGCAGGAACACGAAGGCCCGAAGGAAAAAAAAAATGTTATTTAAATTAAATTATAGAAGAAAAATCTGAATGATTAAGTAAATAAAGACATGGAATATAAACATGCCATTAACGATCATTTTTTTTATTCTGGCAGGAATAAAATCTTACCAGAAAAAAATGATCGTTAATGGCATGGAAAATATTTTTCTTGGGCCAAAATAACATCGGAGAAAAAATCAATGTCTACGTAAATATGTTCATATCTATCTATCTATCTATCTATTTGACTTTCGTTATATATTTCTATCTATCTATCTATCTATCTATCTATCTATCTATCTATTTGACTTTCGTTATATATTTCGACCTACCTACCTACCTACCTACCTACCTATCTATCGATCTATCTATCTATCTATCTATTTGACTTTCGTTATATATTTCTATCTATCTATCTATCTATCTATCTATCTATCTATTTGACTTTCGTTATATATTTTTACCTACTTATCTATCTATCTATCTATTTGACTTTCGTTATATATTTCTACCTACCTACCTACCTACCTATCTATCTATTTGGCTTTCGTTATATATTTCTACCTACCTACCTATCTATCTATTTGGCTTTCGTTATATATTTCTACCTACCTGCCTATCTATCTATTTGGCTTTCGTTATATATTTCTAGCTACCTACCTATCTATCCATTTGACTTTCGTTATATATTTCTACCTATCTATCTATCTATCTATCTATCTATCTATCTATCTATCTATCTATTTGACTTTCGTTATATATATCTAGCTACCTACCTACCTATCTATCTATTTGACTTTCGTTATCTATCTATCTATTTATCTATCTATCTATCTATCTATTTGACTTTCGTTATATATTTCTACCTACTTATCTATCTATCTATTTGACCTTCGTTAGATATTTCTACCTACCTACCTACCTACCTACCTACCTATCTATCTATCCGAGTTTCGTTATATATTTCTACCTATCTATCTATCTAGCTATATATATATATGTGTGTGTGTGTGTGTGTGTGTATGTGTACACACAAACAAGAATAAATAGAAACTGAGACAGAGCGAGTTAACTTTTAATCTCTTTATTGACTGTATTACTTGCTTTCATTTTTCTATCGAATTTTATTTTCTTCCTTTTTACTTTTCTTTTCTATCTTGTGTAGAATATTTTTATCCATTGTCATTTTTTTAATATTGTATTACCTTCTTTCATCTTCTTTTTATCATTTGCTTTAAGTTATTTGTGATCCATTTTTTATTTACTTATTTCTATGATCTTTATTCTTTCTGTCTTTTTTTTCCATTTTTCCTCTCCATTTTCCTTTTTTTTCTCTTTATCTCCTCTTTCGTCGGTTGTTTTTTTCTTCATGATTAGTTCTTTCTTCTCCTTGTGTTTCCTTGTTCAGCTTTCTTTCTGCGCCATGTTTTTTTTTTCTCTTCAGAATACTAAAAGGAAACACTTTCTTTCTTATCTGCATCATTAGCGCATTTTGCCTTCATCAATTTTTTTTTCGTTAATTTATTTTCGGAAAAAAAAAAAAATTCGTTTCGACTTCGATCAATCGTACGCTTGTCTTAGCAAAAGTTTATATGCAGCAATGACGTCAGAAGTCACAGTCAAGTTGGGTGTTTCCCATAATAGGACACTATTTATAAAAAAAATAATAATATCAGTGAAATAAAAACTTTCTAAAATAAATCATTCTAACTGCCCAGCAAGAATTTCGGGATTTTTGAAATTTTCAATGAATACTAACTGACTCCACATAAAATATTTACCATTGAGTCAATGATCGTTTCCTTTACGAAACGGTTCTCATGTTGATAAAAATAACTGCAAAATATTGTAAAGATTAGATGTCCTGCACCTTTTTTTAGTCGTAAGCATTTACACCTTTGTGAAAATGAATTGAAACAACGGCTTTGGTTTCCTTTCTTTCGCCATAAGGTCAGTTTTAGACCAACTGATATAACTGTGTAAACGATTTCTATTTTTTTCCTCAGATTAGGTCATTTGCTGTGGCGTGCATTAATATGAATCTGTTTTCGGGGTGAATGATGAAATTGGTTATGGCCTTGAAAAATATTGCGACATTCGTGATTGCATCAGATTTTCATCACCCCCAAGCACTATTGTCTCAGCTGTCAATTAATTGTCCTACGACCATTGTGCGCGATGGACGTTAATCCAAGGAAGCGTACGAAAATTGTAACACATTGCACGAACACACCGGCAAGCCTTTCCAGAGAGCAAATCAAAGTACTATAGTCTGGCCAGGAAACTCTCCTGATTAAAATCCTATCGAGAATCTGTGCTCAATCTGCAAGGAACGAATGGACATACGAATTACTAATATATGCACCGGGCCATATTTCATTGTAAAAAAATAGTAAATAATGACGGAATTATTCGTTTCGCACAAGGGTGTACATTGTAGAAAACCACTCACATTGCCTCCTATTCCATTAGTGAGAAGTAAGTTCCACTCGGGCAGCCTCTTCCCGCGAACCAGTTTCCTGTGGAATCGATTCTTAACAGGATGTCTCTACGATCACTATAAGCATAACCTATTCGAAGGCAGGGTTAATTGTTATCTTCCACTCCTATACACACAAATAGCCGCCTAACATAACCCTCCACCGCGAGTGACATTGTAAAGGGTGAACGTTATTGTAAAAAAAGTAACTTAATATTGATTTAAATATGAATTTAAGATATTAGCAAAGTTCCTAGCACTGTAGTGTAACTTTGAAAATGGGAAAAAAATATTGGTTATTGTTAAGGGGTCCACCCCTTTTAATACAAGTGGACTCGCCAGTGTGTACTTGTACTGCTGCCGGTGAATACCTGGGGGTGACAGAGTGATACAGTGATACAGTGAGACCAGTGAGAGAGGGAGAGTGTGAGATAACCGCTTTGTAGGAGTCACAGTTACGAGTACTAAGACTCAGAAGGAAGTCATACTTCGGTACTGAATATCCCAGACTGTATATATATTATTATTGCTACTAACCGCATTTCTGGATCTACTAACCGTATTACCAATTGTATTATTACGTCAATACATTTATTTGCTATATTTCATTCCTGCGTTTGTCATTCATTTGAGATCGGATTTCATCCCGGAATCCACAACAGTTATGAAATATGGTTTCTTTCGTGTTTTCTCAGTTCAACAGTAGTCGGTAATCAGGCTATATTCGATATCTATAGGGTGTGTCCAGTAAAAAAAAAAGCGGTAAATTCAGAAAGACGTGAGACAAGCGTTGAGATCTGGTGACGACTGATGTGATTCTGGAAGAATTTCTGTACATTTCGTCAATTCCCACACCGGATGTTCTTGTTTGAAAAGAACGACAATTTGACGCGCAAAACCAGTGAGTTGTAGCGATAAGAGAAGAGCTGAACAAAAAACGAAAGTTGTCTGCAAATAATTTTTTTTTTTCGAGTATCAATTCCTTAATCATAAAAGAATTAGAGTTTAGTAATTACACGAGAATGAAATGATTATTCAAGGTCATAAATATTCCGAAAATTTATTCAGGGGTTACTCTAGTCCAATTATTCCTAGATAAAACGGTGATAATAAACTTTCTGCTTTATTACAGCCCCCCACTCACCCCGTACCAGCGGTCCCACGCAGACTGGAAGAAATACAAGGTCAGTTTAATGTAAGAAGCCCGGGCGTCTGCACCTCGGCCAAATCTAAAAGTAGCCAATCCCCGGCAACCGTATTTCTACAGACCCCCGTCTCCAATGCAATGAGGGCGGTACTGATGTGGGGAGAAATTCCATGAGACCGGGTACCTCTCAATTTCAGTTGTGATCTCTACGAAAGTCACAACTGAGAAATGATAAACGAGATACGACACAATGAATTTCGCAAGACTCGCCTATCATATCCTGCCTTTCCCGCTTGTGCACTTATAAGCTTTATGACTTAGCTATGCTAATTAGTCACACATTAACAAATCAATGCAATATATATATAGCCTATGAGCCAATCGAAATCTATTATTATTACTACTTATGACATATTTACAGGCAGTGTATTAGTGGAGCGAAAAATGGTGACTCTAGTATGTATTGTTGGCTAGAAAAGTTAGCGGAAGTGCTGAACATCTATCCATGTTACACAACCTGACGGTAACAAAATGATCAAACAAGAAACCGGAAGAGATGTCCATAGGTGAAACTGGGTCAGAAGTCCGGATTTTCTTCTAAGATGAACGAATATTAAATCTGAATAAAAGCTTAAGGAGTGACAAATATATCGACAATTAATTTGGCAAGTTGAAAGGTAAGTTACCGACCATAAACAGGACAGTCAGCTCACTCGTTTTTGGAATAATTCGAGCAATACCGAAATGTTTACAAAAATGGCATGCAGAAGTGATACATGTTTCCAAATAAATTATTCTCAAGCGAGGCGATAATGCCACCAAGACATAATGGAGCCACTGGAAATAAAAGCAAAATAATTTAGAAGGAACCGGAAAGGCGTATAGATTTGAAGTAGAATTTAGAAGAAACAAGAGACAAAACTTTACTCCAGTTTAGAATACGCGAAAGGAGTGTGAACCGGGCGATAGGTGAATCTATCTACTCCTATTGTGGAAAAATAAATAAATAGTAAAAACAAAATGTGTCAATAAAAATTACAACCGCGCGAAAGAATTGAAAAAAGATCAACAGACGGTGACGGATTAACTAATTTTTACTGCTGCACTCGGAAAATTCCCAGAAACCTGAGAGTGTGAGTTGCAGAATCCAGATGATAACGATGTAAAGATAATCAAAGCGATAAGGTGTCACTTGATCTCTAGTGAAATCACGTGGGTAATTCGGTGATAAAAAAAAAAAAAAAAAACTTTATAAGTGTGGCTTATCATTAGGCCACAGGAAGCTATAACAGCAAAGAAAGACTAAATTTGCCAAATGGTAAGGAGTGGTTTCCTGAGGCAAAAATGATTATATGTAGTAAGGCATATCTTTTTTTGAAGAGCATCTCTATTTCTAGGCCGGTAGATATTAATTTCACTGCTTAAAAATAGGGATGTCTACTCGAGTATGTGTACCCAATAAATACAAAGTCTACGTTAAAAAGAAAGAATGTCTGATTAAAAGATAAATCCATTAACTGCAAACTTAGTTATATATGAGTTAAAGATCAAATACAGATCAAATATGGTTTGGAATCCGACAGGTTGATAAAATAAAGAACAAATATGAAAACGTTTATCAATCTAACATGTTTCACTTTTAAAGCTTCTTCAGAGATTGAGAGAAAACAAACAAAAAGACAGAACTTTCGTATGTTCAATTTTGTTTGCATCGATTCTCATTGGTCAGTCATGTATCAGGTGCATTAAAACCGTAGATTATTCTATGTGTATGTAAGCTATATTTAAACTTTAGTTAGATACGCATAATTTAGCTTT